AATGAGACTTTTCTGCACACTGTTCTGGTNCATTGTGTTTTTCATATACATATACAAGAGTCAGAAAGGAGTCCTCTTCTAAATTTAACAAAAATTCATTCATCATTTTATTAGATTTTCCAAAAAAAAATATGCCTAGCGCTGTATTTAAATCAGATGACATCAATGTGGTCCATTTAAGCAATGAACGATGGACCCACTGCCCAAGGCAGTCATGATAAATTTGGCACCTTGACCAATGTATTCATTGTCAATTAATAATTGTTCGTAATATATGTTCTATGTTAAATATTAAATCTTGAACACCATTCATTTGACTCTTAACATTCCTACTGGTACTGAATATAGACGCAATGAATAGGCAAGAAAATTTTGTGGACTTTTCGTTAAATTCTACGTGTTAATAAACTAACAATGCAAGGAAAAGGACTTAGATGCCTTCTTCACAATTCAGATTAATGATTTAGAATTTCTTGATGTTATTTTTCATTCTTTTCTTTTATCTTACTTAATAATGACGTGTTCAACAATTTTCTCATGCTCAGAAATCGGATGAAAAATGTGTTGCTTTGTTGCTGTAGAACGTCAAATACATTACGTTCAATCTTCAACTCTGTATACCAAAGCAGAGTATACATAAATAAAATATATTTGATAAATAAGAACACTATTATGGATATACTACTACTTAAAGAAACTTTGAGTTGTTAAGTTTTTAGCTGGAATATATAATTTTCTGATCTGTATGGTTAATCACCACTTGATAACGTTACCTGTATGTGTAATGAAACGTTGTGTTCAATAATAAATAGAAGTCTATATCCATAAAAACTGTTGTTTCTTAATGTGCTGTGATACTTCTAAATGTCTTACAAGGAATATACTACTACTTCCTTTAGTAGTATATCCATAATAGTGTTGTTATCTATTTACATCTATTAAATGTCATTTAGAGAATATATATTCGGTATACCTGGTATATTTTTCTATGAGACAAAATATGTTACCCAGTTGTGAAAGCTAAGTTGAATTGGCCTGTGATATATGACATCTTAACATATAAAGGGAGGCTACTAACATCGATGCAACAAATCAATATTTAATTCATCTCTACCGCGGCGCAAGTCTTGTCAGTAAAGCACGGTTTGTTAAGAAGATTTTGGATATACGCATCTTCGAACATAACCCCAATTAAATTATATCTTGAAAAGCATTGTTCACCATTCGTACCCCGTCTCAGAAACGGGAATTGTTCAGATATGCTTATCAATAACCAGATTTTAGACTTCTTAGCCGTGTGTATTCAAAATTATCAGGATTAACTGCAGTCATTATGGATCCTTCGGAACTATGAAGAGCACCAATGAGGAAATCCTTCAAAACTAGCACACGGACGGAAAATGTTACGTTGATATAAAAGAGCGATTACTCAATCAATTGAAAAATTGTTTGCTATAATCAAGGTCAATACACAAAATGAAAATTGGATGCGCGCTGTTATTAATTGTTGATGTATTTTAACGAAGCTTAAAAATCCTTTAAAAATAAAGCCGAGAGGCTCAATTTCAATTATTTCAAAATTTATTTCCAACGAGCATCATTATAAATGTTCGTCACTATTTGGTGATTTGGTCCAGTTACATACATACATTAAATTAAATATGTACAACATTCAGTCATAAAGGAATCATTAAGGACTCAAAGAATTTAGTGTGATTGCAATCTTTCTGTGCTAAACAATAGCAAATCAGTGTCATATTCAAATAACTCGAGAACAATTGATGTTCACTTCTATCGAGTAACAAGCTTCTAGTTAGTTGGACACGATCTCATTAAAGAAGTATATCGCTATGAGATGGAACTGCACTATATCCAAAACCACTACATCATTTTTCCAATGTACTGAGATCGATAATTGTCGACCACAGGCATGTTCGGAATCAAAATAAAAAAATCCCGCCTCATTTAAATTGTTTTTGTTGGCAATATTTTAATCAGTGAAAAAAAAGAAAATTTTTTTAGGGTCCAACTTAGAAATTTTTCCTGATCAAAATGACTGAAAAATGGCCGATTTTGGTCGATTTTTTCGGTTTTCATAG